AGCGTAGTAGTGTCAGAAAGAGATGCGTGAAAATCCACCTAAGATCGGCTTCTCTCAGCTTCTGTATTGCAAAGCTGTGACATAAGTCTTTTTAGGTGACCTGTGCCCCCAGGAAGTAAATACCAACGCTGCCTTTTATGGGCTGGCTGACTGAGCAAGTTCCATAGCCTCTGAGAGCTTTACTGGTAAAGCAGGAGTAATAAAGTTTAGGTCATGACATTTCAGTAACAAGTTCAGTGACATTTATAGTTCATAGTAGATGCTCAATAAATAGTATTTCTTTTATGTTATTTTTTCAGACCCATGTATCAGAGTTCTCTGGCTCTCTGGCAGGAAACACGTTTTCCTGACCACCAAGAAAGTAGCCCTCTTTTCAGTGAAATGCAAAGAGAGTAATAGCATAGGTACAACAAATAATAAAACCTAATTATCAAGTTTTCCAGACTTGAAAAAACACAGGAGACAAGGAAATAGATGATACTTCTACCTCTGGAAATTTTCAATCACAGACGTTCCTTCAGACCAAGAGTTATGCCAAGCCTTTTGGGTTTTGTAGAGGGGATTGAAATGGACAATATTTTAATCTCTTGTTTATTTCAGAAGTGCTATACAAACACATGCTTCAAAGAAGCTTCCTTTCTACTGTATTTTTCAGTTTTTTCTTAGAATCACCTCTTAATCCTAACCAAATGGAGAGAAGATAGAGTGCTAAAATACCCCATAGCATTTATCTATTGCTACACAAAAAATTACCCCAAAACCCAGCAACTTAAAACAACAATTCATTATCTCACATGGTTCTGAAGGTTAGAAATCCAGGAGCAGCTTAGCCAGGTGGTTCTGGCTAGGGTTATTTCATGGATACCCATGTTGGCTGGGGCTGCACTCATATGAAGGGGTTGGAAAATTCACTTCCAAGCTAACTCACATGGTTGTAGAGGAGGCAGAGGTGAGGGGAGGAGGGGAGAGAGAGAGAGAGATAAGATGGAAGTCATGGATGTATTGTATGACCTCACCTTGGAAGTCAAATACCATCACTTCTGCCTTATTTTGCTGTGGCAAACTGATAAAATGCTGATGGACAATGTGAGTGTGAGATCAGGAGGTGAGGATCACTGTTGTCATCTCAGAGGCTGGCTCCCATATATTTCTTTAGCTTCTCAACTAGGGAAACCAACTGTATGCATATTCTGATAGGACTGCAAGTTGAGAAGACCCATTCCATCCTATCCATCCACTAAGCATTGGAGAAATCTCTACTAATCACAGGTTTGGTGATGATTTCTGATTTTTATTTCTAGATATGGACTGTAACATTTTAAGTATTTATATATATTTAAAATTAGAAATATGTTCAAATTTATTCCGTCAGTCTTTTAACCCACAGGTGAATATTAAGAGCATCAGAATTTTTCAGGGCAATTATGGTATGTGCTACAATCAAGTTATATATGAAAGACTAGGTATACACAGATGTAGAGGGACTGAATTGACCTGGGAATTTGGAGAAGGCTTCACAGAGGAGATGACTTTGATTTTTGTTTTAAAATATTAACAAGATCTTGCACAATTGACAGAGTCAAGCTAGAAGATATATATTAGGGAAAAAAAATACTGAGTTTCAACAAGTTTTAGAAGACAGCATGCAAAGATAAACTTTGCAAAGCTCCAACACTAGGGGAAACTGTAATTCATTGAAACACATATTTGATAAAAGTGTAAGCAAGGCAAAATACACCAAAATACATTTAACAAAAATGTAAGCAGTGCAATGACAAATTCAGAACTCGGGGTAGTGATATGACCTCTGGAAGGAATGGAGGAGCCAAAGTTTTGGGATCACAAAATCATCAGAGAGAGAGATTAAGTGATGCTGGTGATATCCAAATATTTTAGTAGGATTATAAATGTTCCATAATAATTTGTATGTATAAAATATTACATGATCATTTTTTTAACATTCAGGATATGTCAGCAGGGAAGACAGTATCTGAAAATGCATGGAAGGGTGAAGGACCTTGGAATAATATATAGACATAATTATGACAAAGAAATGACAAATAATTATCCTTCATAATATACAGTTTAGTATTCTAACACTGTATTGGAGTATACAAAGGAAAGGAGATTATAGATACAATTGAAAGCAACAAACTCAAAACTCAAAATCTTGCAAAAGAAGCAAGTACTATTTCTGTATTAAGAACCAAGAGACTGATTTCTCCTTTGTTGCCTGCTTGGTGATAAAATCAAGGCATATTACAATTAAGGATTTCGAATAATGTGAATTAATGATAAGTTACAGCAGCAGTTATTATTTTCATCATTTGGAAAGAGGTCTGGTGCATTTTAATTGTCTGAAGCTCATCATGTGCCAACAACTTTTGTTCCTAGTGGAATTCAAATTACAGGGCAGTACTTTATTGAACAACTTACCCTTTTGAACTATTGTGAAGCTGCAAGCAAGGTTTAATTACATTATTGCCAATCATCTGAAGAATGGTAATTACTTGGAGCCCTTGGCCAATGTTTCTGATTAAAAGTAGTGTAGAGTACTCCACAGGTCATAAGTTCATATCCTGGTTCTATTAATTTTCTTCTAAACCTTACTTTATTCCTGAGACAAGGAATGACTCCACCCTTGGAAATGATGTTAAGGAAAAATATGAATGATCTGAAGAGAACAGATACATGAAACAGAATGACTTTGGCTGTTATGACCTGTTTGCTATTATGTCTGTGTTGTTTTTGTCTTTTTGTATTCCTCTTTCTAGCCAAAAAAGAAAGAAAAAAAAAATCTGAGACCAAGAGACTCTTTTCTTGTGAGAGGTTTGAAGTACCTTTAATAGTCAACTGGGTTCCTAGCCAAAATTTTAGTTTTGACTGAAAGCAATATTTATCTTCTTAAGAGTAAGACTGACTTCCTATGTGTTTAGGAACAGAGCAGGGTCTGTTTTTTCTAGTGAAGGGGACCTGATATGCAAGGAGGAGAGGATGGAGGTTGGATTTTTTTTTTTTTCCCTGTGAAGATTAAAACAAGATATAATCCCTGTAAGTCCACGTCGGGACTTTCTGACCAAGAAGTTGCATCAGTTTTGCTAAAAGAAGGTCAAGAGTATCTGAAGCTATTTTCTGAGTCAGCACTGTCTTCTGACTGAGTTCAGGTGTGACTAGCTGTTCATGGTGAACTTGAATGCCAGTTCGTGAGTTTTCTGCTGTTCGTTTGACTGCCTGGGCTTCTTTTGTTCCTTTTTCTGCTTGATAGATCTTTGTTTTGCCATTCAGTCTGCTGTTGGTGAAAATATCCTTTCACTTAGCCCATTGATAGCATGCTCCAGCCAAAATTGACCCATGTTTTCTGGGTGTGGCCATGCTCCCAAGCGATCCTTCTTCCACTTAACATGTTATTTAGGGTAGCAATAGGCCACGTGGTTATCAGATTCATATTTTAACTAAGGTGTCTCTGATTCGAAATTACAAAGATGTTCATTGTAGCATTGGGGTTAGATGTTCCATATCTAAAAATGAGTATAACTTCTTTTCTTTCCAATCATCCTCTCACCTGTGAGTGCCCCCAAGACACAATCCTTAGTAGTCTTCTCCCTAAATTACATACTTCCAAACACCGTCATAGTTATGCAACTCTTCATGAATAACTTCCTCCTTCCTTCTGTTTTCCTTTTTTTCTTCCTCCTGTGACTACGATGTTCCCTAGACAACCCCCAATAACCATGCTCTATTAGTATTTTTACTCAGGTAGACCACAGGAAGTACTGTCAATGGCTCATTTTTGGTATGCTAATGTCATATGAAGAGTCAGTCTTATGATCTCTGTGACAGACTACTCCAGAGTGGAAAAAATGTTGGTTATTCGCCTGGCTTTTGGGTTCAAAAAATAGTCTTCTGAAGGCAATTATCATAGTACATTATAAAAATGGTTGGAAAGAAGTTTTCATGGAAATAATGCTGGTTGAAATTATTAAATATTTGCATTCATGGCAAGTATTCATGTGAAATATTAGCCTTCATGTTCAATCACATTAAACTTTTCACTTAGAAGCATAACCCTTAGAAATGTAACAGCCCCAACTATTTGATACATCATGTTGCCCAACTAAATGTTTAGCATTAAATATATAGATGTAGGACCACCTTTTTCTCCCATAATGCATATGATTATGATGATTCAGAGTGAGCAAAATGTAGAAGTCATCAACAGGGGGTTGAATGCGTAAAATCACGCCAAATATCTCTGCAGAGTTTTTACTCCATAGACTTTACTGTACAAGTTTACCACAGGTGGAAATTTTCAGTGATGAACAGCAGCTCTTAAGATAAATGTATTTGGTTCAGATTACGTATGAAAAGATTGGAATTGGTATTTATAGAGCTAGGACTAGCATTCTAGTTAGTATGACTAATAGCCTATAGATTTTATTTTACATTATTATGTTTCTATATTCTATGCTAGCAAAAAATTAAAGCTTTAGTCTAGGAGTCAGAATATCTTAAGTCCCAATCTTAGCTCTTTGCTGTTCCTGACAAGACTTGTCACCTTCATGCCTTAATTTACTCATTGGTGTAAAAGTAAGGAAGGTATCTGCCCTATATTTTTTACTAAGTTGTTAGAATTATATTATATGTGAGGCATATTAAAGTAAGATGTTTCACATTATGTGTTTCATAATTAGAAGAGTATTTTGACAGCAGTAGTATCAGTTTCCAATGCTGCTGTTCTTCAACTTTTATTCTTTTTTCTTCCCTTTTGGATTCTAAATATCTGTGACTTTATCACGACCACCTCCTCCCTTGACCCTTTTTTGAACGAAGGATATTGGATTTTTGCCAGTAGGAAAACCAATGATGAAACCATACTAATAGTTGAAGGAAAGAGTTCCTCCTATTTTTCTTGGGTAAAATGTTGATAATACCAAATTGTCCTTTTCAATTCTGTATTTGGATATTAGTTACAATAACTTATTTTCTTCTTGTTCACACAGGAAATGACTTATTTCTTGTGGCAGTTCATGAACTGGGACATGCTCTGGGATTGGAGCATTCCAATGACCCCACTGCCATCATGGCTCCATTTTACCAGTACATGGAAACAGACAACTTCAAACTACCTAATGATGATTTGCAGGGCATCCAGAAGATATATGGTAGGTTACTACTTTTTCCATTTGCTTAATCCTGTAGTGAAGTCCAGAAATTCTACTGTGTTTTCTTCTTTGAGATAGATGCTCTAAGAATAAACAGATAACTACAGAAAAAGTATGTAGCTGGCCTACTGGCAAAACTATTCTATCAATTGAATTCTGTTGGCAAAGGTCCCACATATCTTAATGTATAGATTATGGGAACATGTTAAGCACTGATGAAATTTTCTTACTGAGTTTGGTTGGAAAACCTGCAGTTACAGCAAAGTTCTAATAAACTTTAATTTTTAAAATTCAGGAAAAAATATGTAATAAGTGAATGTAACAAAAAAAAACGGAAAAATATAAGACTTTCGTATATAAAATGCTGAGACTTTTCTACAAACTGATAGATTGACTCACAGTTTGTGAGAGTTGATGTTAGGTATTTCCTAGACAAAACACTTTTGAAGGTCCACAAAATACCCTTATATGATAGATACAAGAAATTGACCCCAAAGTCACGTAATGATTTATTGACCTAGAGTAAGAGTTAACAAAGGAGTGAAATTAACAAGTGGTGAAGTTTATCAATACAGAATACAAAACAAATTTTTAGTATAGTAGTGTCATTTTTATTCACTCAATGAATGCAAATTAAGAGAAAAGAGAAAAGACTATTATGCATATTTACTATAATCCTAACTTCCTCATACAACCATTGACCTTTATAAAGACATTTATTTCACACATAGTAGCAAAGAACTTGACATTTATAATTAACATATAGCAAATATGCTTTACTAAATTAATGAAGTGAAGCTTTTATTTTTACAATACAAAGACAAACGTGTGCTATCTGTATGTTAATATCCAGTATCCAGAAGATGTCTTTTGCATTTTTAAGCAGCATAGTTTAAGTTCACTAATTCGTTTTGCATTCATTTATTTTCTTTTAATTTTAATAACTCAGTGGTAAGTATTCTCTCAGGGTTAAAATAGATTTGTAAAAAAAAAAAGGTCAATTTTTGTGCTGCTCTTTAGTTTGCTGGGATACCAAGAAGAGAGAAATGTCTCACTCAGTGCTAAATATCTCTTTTGTTGAATTGAGCTATCCTATGTCTAAGTGTGTGTCATCAGAAATTCTTCTTAAGTGGTTCACTGAAAGAAGTCTCTTTCTCATGACCTCATGAATTAGTAGTCTAGACTGAAGGTCTGCAAAAGAATAGTCTTCCCATACCTAAATATTAAGTGCAAACAGCTTTACATCTTTTTTAAAAAACATGAATCTCTTGAGAATGATGCTTAACATCTGTACCAAATTACATGTGTAAACTTTGTCTTGATTTAGAAGCCCTTTTGAGAAATACTTCTTCACATTAATATTTTACTGGTGGTGTTTTAATCAATAGGTATTTTAGATTCACTACTTAAAGGAAACACTCTTCCAGCAATTTGTCAAAATATTTCATTAGAAGAAAACAGTGAAAATCAATAAAAGAGCATAAAATAGTTTTGACACATTGGATAGAATAAACTTTGCTTCGTTAATGTTTATCTTTTGGAAATATTTTCATAGAATCATTATCTATTGAAATCTAGGATTAACTTTGTTAGAGCTTACTTACATGGCTCCAGTATTCCTTTTCATTTATTTATTATTTATATACCACCTGCTTCCAAAAAAGTTCTGAAGGCAGCTTTCCCAAAAATAACTGTGGTGAAGCTATGAAAAATAGTATTAAAAATTAACAAAGGAAACCTAGCTACCTGGATCCAGATTCTAGCATGATAAGGACAGTTTCAGATAGACTTGGCAATGCTTTTTGGGGGTAAGATATTTTGTCTTTTGTTTTTTTTTTCAGAAAATATACGATCTTAAAGACCTCTTAGTTCACTTAGTCTGTGCCCTCTGCTGATAAGTGATTGTTCTCTGTAGCATATTTTCCAGCTCTATTCCAGTTTTAAGTGAGCCAAGCACTGTCCTCATATTTTCAAAAGGTCCACCTGACAAGATTCCTCCACCTACAAGACCTCTACCGACAGTGCCCCCTCACCGCTCTATTCCTCCGGCTGACCCAAGGAAGAATGACAGGCCAAAACCTCCTAGGCCTCCCACCGGCAGACCCTCCTATCCTGGAGCCAAACCCAACATCTGTGATGGGAACTTTAACACTCTAGCTATTCTTCGCCGTGAGATGTTTGTTTTCAAGGTAGGAGACCGTGATTTTTTTTTTTTTTTAACAGTAGATCAAGTGTCTAGTGTTGCTTTAGAAAACAAGTTCTCATTCATTCTAACACTACCTTCCCAGCCCTCTCACAGTTAGAAAGTTCAAAAAAAACATTTTAAAAAATAAATGCACAAATGGGCTTAAATGTCTAGCAGAAGATTGCTGTAACATTCTATTTTGGGAATGCATTTATGTCAGCAGAAGCTAAAATGCCTAAAATGTGAGGGTAAAAAAAATGCTGCATGTTATGAAGAGATAAAATAGCATAATTTGAATCATGAATAGGAACTAATAGGGATGATTTGCTTGGAAGCTTAGCCACTTCCAGGCATACTGCAGCTATTGTATCTTTGGTTTACATATCTTTATGAGATCCCTGTAATTTCATTTGACCATTACAGCATTGTTTTTCAGGAAGAGCATTGATCATTTTGTTTGGGGTCCACGGGTAGCCATTTGAGTTAAATCTCCTCTATGAGGCTATCATTTTGACTTTACATATATATGTTATTGTTTTGATATTGTTAGGCAATTGTATCTAACTAATTTATATAATTTTTTTAAAGGCTACAAGCTGAAACTAATTTTACATTTGCAAAAGTACTTTTAATGTTGGGGTCTCAGAAAACAACACTAATAAACAGTATATCAAAAGTAAATTATATAATATTGGAAGGTGAATATAATACTGAAAAATACTCCCCCCCCCCACCCGGTATTTGTAAGCCACTCTTAAAGACTAAGAAAGTAAGTTTGGATGTTGGTAGTAGAGTATTAAAAGAATCACGTGTTGCCAATATTATTTATTTTAAAATAAAACAATGTGCTCTCAGTTTTGGTGGACATAAATCAATAAATAATCAAATGCTCTTCTACTTATATACTGCCTATGTAATTTTCTGTCTACCAGAAGCTATCATTTAAAAATACAGATTTCATATAATTTTAACTTGATAAAATGCTCTATTTTCTTTGTTGAAAAATAATATCTGGATTTGATATAATATGCATAAAAGCATCATGCTTTCCAGGAAAAAATCAATGTGTTTCTTCAAGCACATGAATAGACTTTTGAACTCTATAAATGCCCTGTAATACTTTATTTGATATCGCCATTCTATTTCAAGTAGTTTAATAAATTTAGATTCAAAGAGTAAAGAAAATCTTACTTTTGTTGCTCATTGTGTTACTCTGTGTTACTCATATTGTTAGTCATTGTGGCTAAGCCCACAGCAACTAGTTGAAATGAACACAAAGTGCAATCTTGTTTATTCCACAAGACACCTGATGAAAACTGAAGGGTTGGCAGAATTTCAACATTGCAGGCTTTATACCTTGATATCATAATAATAACACTAATGCATCAACCTTATCTGAGAATATGATGTGAAATTGACTCTGGGTACATTATTTTTTCATTATTCCTGTCTATCTTAAGTAGGTTGCTGATGTTAGAGGAGACTGGTGTCTTCGTATCTAGTGATCGCTTTCAACAGCCTCTTTGCTCTGCACATTGTAAAAGTTTAGTAAGTGCTGTTGACTAACAAAATAAAGTCCTGTGATCACTGGTTCCTGAAATCAGGAACTGATAAAAAATGCATGGATCAGACTCTCAAGTAGAAATGCAATAGCTGCTACTTTCAATATCAAAACAGGTATATAAAAAATGTAAGTAAGGCATGCTTCCCTAAACTCTGAGGTTATATTGGATTCCTTTATCAAAATCCCTGACAGGACAGAGTTTCTAAAATCTTCCCTATTTTCATTTTCTCAGTAATTCCAAGAATTATTGCTTTCTTTCTAAGAATAATTTCTCTGGAAGATAACATCTTCTAATAGGCATTTTTTTCTTTGTAATATCCATTTGCTTAGTGAACGTTTTGTCACATAATTTCATACTTTTTGTTTTTATCTCATCTTTGATAGAATGTGTCTGTGTGCCCAGTATACTTTCCTAGGCATCAGGAATGTGTGAATAGAAACTAGCATCCCTGTCTTTGCAGAGCTCATATTTCAGGAATGAAGACAAACTTGAACATTAATATTTTTAATACATAAGAGTAAAAGTAATGACACTGAAACAAAGAGAAAGTACTGAAGTCTAATCAAACAAGGAATTTTACTGAGATTGGAGTTTTAATGAATTTTGAGACAAATTTTCTAGGCACCTTAAAGAAGTGGGTGGTGCAGCAATAGGTTTGTGTATGGAGGGAGAAAAAAACAGACATGTTACTATCTAGTATAAAGTGATAATCTTTTAATTCAGACATATGCAACATTGGATAGATGTAAAGAAAGCATGATTGCATGATATCTGACTCTTAGTTAATAGTTGTCATAGATTCGGTAACCATTATGTGTCTCTGACCTCATAAAAACACTGCAAGATAGATAACATTCTGTTTTACAAATTTAAAAAACTGAAAATCAGAAAAGTGTTGTTGAAACACTTCTAAGAGGTAGTCAATAGTTGAACACAGGTCTACGTGATTCCAAAATCTATGTTTTCCCCACTAAACTTTTTGCTTTGTTACCTGAAATAATTGAGAAAAGTTTCAAAAGAAAAGTAGACTTTCAACTATATTTTGAAATGGTAAGTATTCAAGAAATATTTATTGCCTTCATACTGTACGGTAGATGTTGTTTTAGGCACTGGCTATGTAGCAGTGAACAAAATAGGCTACACTTGGGTTTCTTGCAAATTGCATTCTAGTCTTCAAGGTGGACACGTGGGTGAGAGGCTTCACACAGATGTTCCACTTGTGAATGTCACAGAAGGATGTGAGAATGCTTACATATGACAGAGCCTGGAATTCTGTTTTTCAGTGCCAATGACAGCTGATTGGTCTCCTAATTTCTTCTCTATACTTACTTAGTCTAGACTGCCTTTACTTCTAAATTAATGTCATTACCCCATATCTGATCTTTCTCCCATTTCAACATTTCTTCAATGTATACATCATTATTTTTCATATTTTGCTTCTTATTGACTGTCTCTTCAAATATTTTTAGTATTGCTCATTGTTTGATCTCACTCTTATTAATATGTTGATTTTCTACTTTTGTTTATTACAGACTCTACACAATTTAGAAGTGTGTTCATCTCCTCAACCCTTACCCATCAACACTTATTTTCTCCTAAATTTTAATGTCTGGGGATAGCTTCTTGAGTCTCTGCCTATCCAAATGTTCCATCCTCAGCATCTTCTGATGTCCCATCTTCTCTGATTGATTCTCTCTAGTGATTTTTATATTCTCTATATTCATTCAATTAGCATGTTATTTATTTCTGTCTTCTCTAATTATTTCTTACGGAAATGTGTTCCTCAACAAGATTTTTACTTCTCCAGAGCGGAGATCGGTTCACATGACCTTCATAGTGCTCAGTGCTAATGAATAGGGATGTCATTGTAAGAATTGCATAATCAAACTGTGGCAAATATTATTTTTATACTATGATGATAGTCAGTCTAAATGAAATCCTTGAAGCATTTTATTTTGGTAAGTTGTTATTCCTTGCCCAAAGATTTCAATGAGTATTATTTATATAAATTATATATGTGTGATTTTTAAGCCAAAAATAAGAAAATCTAGATATAAGCAAAAGGTAATATCATCAGATAATTTTGTTTTCTTGTAAGAAAGAAGCCTTTCTTTATAGTAGAACTTTCAGCATAATGCTTTTTGGTTGTGAGCTTCTTCTCAGAGAATCTGATTGACATTGCACTTTCCAGGCATCCATTTATTTAAAGTGAGTTCACCTAGACATGTGTTTCTGTAGGAGGTGGGATATGTATATACATACATACACAGAGACACACAGAAACACACACACACACACACACACACACACATACGCTTCTGTCCTTATGCATGAAAAATTTAAGCCATGCAGCTTTATAATCTTTAGAGAATGTAAACCACCTAATCCAAGGAAATGAGAATCAAAACAAAATGCCAAAGGAGAGAGAAATAAAATAACAATAACAAAGAAGCTTTGTACTTACCCTAGAAAAGGTTATTTTAATACTACTCCTTGAAGAGTGTAAGCTGTTATAAGTGAACTGACAACAGCAAGATCTGATTGTTCAAATGAATACTCTCAAAGCACCTTTGGACTACAAGATAAGAACACTGAATATTTTAGTTTTTAGTTGTGTAAAAAAAGCAGAAGGCTAGAATTAGCCAAAGTTGTACAGAACATATTTCAGTACACAATATTTCACTATGTATGCATGAATGCATATAGTGGTAACTATATTCTTTTGAAGCTGGAAATAGAAAGAATTGTATACAGCACTAGGAACTCCTTTAGTGTCCAAAAAGAAAGGATAGTTGCCTTTGATTACTGACCAGTTCTTTTTTTTTTTTAATTTATTATTATTATTATACTTTAAGTTCTAGGGTACATGTGCATAACGTGCAGGTTTGTTACATATGTATACTTGTGCCATGTTGCTGTGCT